TAAGAATATTTTCAAGTTCCTGTCATGCTTGATCCAACCTTATTTAAGTCCATGTTGAGTTTTCAGTGTATGGATGTAATTGGTCATATTCTATTATTTTGGTTTCAGTCTATTGTTTAAATTTTTTCCATTGCATTGGTGTTGAGTTAATAGAATCAGAGATCTTTTTGCCTTGTGTTCTTTTTGATTTAGATATTGTTTATCTTTTAACAAGTTGTCATTTGTTAACCTGATTAAGAGAAGAGTATAATCACTATTTGTAATTGACTTTATTGAAATATTTTTAAAATTATTTAGATTCTCTTGACTGATATCAGTTGTGAACCAGATATAATCAATTCTACTGTAAGCATAATTATTAGACCATATGTATAAGCTCTCATTTTGTTTCCATATATTGTGGATATCAGTAAAGTTCCAATTTTCTAAGAAGTTGAATATATTAATTTCAACTTTTTTATATTGTATTGTCTTCTTTTCAGATGGGAGTCAATCTATTATTGGATTTACTATTACATTAACATCTCCTATAATGATGATCTTGAATTTATGTCATTATTTGTTTAGGATTTTTTTTTGCAGTATTTGTTGAAGTCATCTACTTTCTATCTTTTCAGATGGTAAGTAGATTTGGTATATACATAGTTTACATTTCTTTGAAAGAAAGTTTGTATCTATGATATAGCCTTCTATTTTTTTAATCGATTCCAGTTTCTTTTCATATGTCTTGTTTATAAGGAGACCCACACCTGATCCTCTATGTTTAATGTCATTACAACTGTAGAAGAATTTATGTGTCTTTTGAAACTTGAAGGCATGTTCTGCTGCTTCACTCCTTAGTTTTGTTTTACTAATACCCATGATTCCTATATCTAGTTCTTGTATCTTGTCATATAAACACTGTTAATCCAGTATTGTGTTTATTCCTCTTACATTGTGTGTCCCTATAGTTATGATTTTTTCTATAGTGGATTGCAATGTATCGTTCTGATATATTGTTTGTTCTTTAAGGTTTTTATTAATAGTATTTATTTTGATTAACTTGATGAAGTTGTTTAGGTGTTGTGTAGTGATAAGAAGATTGTTTGAAAAGAATGTATTTGTTGTTATGTTGTTGTTTTTGGAATTGTTTTTGGTCCAGAAAGTACTAAATTCTTCTTGTAGATCTTGTTCTTTACTAGTATTTCGTATTTGGACTGGTGCCACTTTTAGGAGCAATTAGCTTTTTTCCATCTTATAGATCCAGAGTAGGGTTGGGTCTTTTTTTCAATGTGATCCATTCTGCTGTTTAGTTTGTTTAGGCTATATAGAATTTGTTGCAATAGGTTTTGTTCTATTTCAGATTCAGTGGTCACATTGTTGATGATTCTAGAACTATATATTCTATATCTTCTCTTTTATGTATTGATCAGTTCTTTATTGCTTCCTGTTGCTGATTGTTGATTGCATATTAGTCTTGACTTTCTTGTATTTGTTCTATAGAATCTTGATCTTCTTTTTTCAGACTCTGTATCAGAGTTTTCTGTGTCATATTCAGGATCGGGTTCTGCTATAGAAGTTTCTCTCTATGTAAGCTTTCTGTTGAATCTAATTTTTGTTCTACTCAAGTGATTGTTATGTTAATCTATACTGGATTCATCTGTTTTTTTAATGTGAATACTGCTAATTCTATATTTTGCTTTTTCATGTCTCTCTTGTGATGAGATATTTGCTTCTTTTATGGTTTCATCCTATTGTTGTATATCTATCTTGAAATATTCTTTAGCACTCTATATAAGTTTATGTTCATATAGAAAGATGTGCTATTTGAGTGCTTTATTAAGATCTTCTGCTATTGCAAAATATATAACTGTGTATCTTCTTTTTTTGAGTGTATATGGGTTTCTGGATATATAGCAGGCTTTTGCTTTGGTTTGTTTTAAGGCACATACTAATAAGCTTGTGAAGGTGTTGTGTGTTTCATATAGCCTTAAGGACTGGCTATTGCGTTCTTTATTAATTTTGTCTACTTCTTGATCAGTGGGTTTGTATTGAGTAAAAATAGCCCTGATCACTTCTGTTTTAATGGAAATCATCTATAGATCCTTTAACTTATTGTTTTGTTTATAAGGAGTGATTTGTACCTTGATTCTTTATTGTGATCTTGAGTAGTTATATATATAGATATTGGTGAGTTTTTCATATATCTGTAAAGCAGCCTTAACTTCTTGCCATATATACAGTAGCTATGATCTATATCAATTAGAGTTACAAATAGATCTATGTTCTCTTATTCTGTTTTTCCTTGAAAATCTTTTTATCAGGTAAAAATTCTGACTCTTCCTATTCTTCTATACTTATGGGTATTATTGTGAAGTTCTCACCCTCTTTTTTGTTAACTTTCTCCAAACAATTCAGAGCATCTTCTTTTTCTTTGAAAGTGAGGGTTGTCCAAGCATTACCATTAAGAAATTCTTTTGTATATAGTTGAAATTCCTTTGGTAAGCTGAGAGTATTTTAGAGATATGCCATTCTTTCTTTTTCACTTTCTTCTGGTATTCTGGATATTAAAGTTCCCAGTTTGTATGCTCCATTTTTGATAATGTGAAATGGATTAATACTAGTTGATTTTGATCTATTTCTAGTATTATAGAATTGTAGCTCTGCGATGTTGTCTCCTTTAACTTTTTCTTGAATTTGTTCCATTTTTAATTGATCCTCAATTTCTTTATTACCTATTTCTATTTCGACATTGTTAAGGACTTCTATTGTGTATATTGGTTGAATTTCCATAACTGTTTTTTTATTTAGTGGTTTTGTCAAAATTGAATATAGGTTGTATGGGACTATGTTTTCTTGCTTTGTTTGTTACTACCAATATGTTTTTTCTTCTTGTTCTATCAGATCCATATACTTGTTTTCCAAGAAGGGGGCCAGCAAATCATTCTCTTTTCCTTGTCCTTGAGCCCATAAGTATAAAATATATTGTCTTAAGATTGTAGCTTTAGTGAAAGTGATATGGTCAATATTAAGAATTTTAGCTATAATACTATCTAGAATTGAGCATCTTGTAGGACTAGGGCTGGGTTGGAGTTGTTTTCTTGTATAGAGATTATATTGAAGATTGTTTGTATTGCTCATAGTTTTTTCTCTTGATCATACTTATTAGATAAGTTGATCAGAGTTTTAGGATATGAAATTCACATTTCTTTGTGATCTGTAGTAATCTTCATGTTGTTGATATTGTTGTACTTGTTATGTGTTACAAATTAATAGGTTTAACTTGTATTTTGTTATTTTTAATACGTAATGAAGGTTTGTTTATTCCTTGTTACTAATTTGGTGATGCGGAAAAACCTTAAAATTGTTATGTTCTAAATTTAAATTCTGTTTCACATTTTTGTTATGGTAATGGTATTGTTGTTGTTGATCAGCTTGTTATAGACGCATGAAAATATGAGTGTTATTGATCTGTTTACTGTAAATACGTAGATAATCTGTGAACATTGTTTATATAGACATGAGAGAATATGAGTGTTGTTGATCCGTTTATGTAAATACATAGATGATCTATAAACATTGTTTATATGGATATATCTTTTTGATCTTGTTTTTTTGAGGGAATATATGTGTACTTGTTTGCGTGATGTTGTATTTGTTGAAATTTGTTTGTTGTGATGTATGTGCTTCTTTACTGTATAGTCAATGAAACTTGGACGTTCCTCTAAATTTTATAGGTATTTGAATTTAGACTGATTTATTGGTTTGAATTATTGCTTTTAAAGTTTCTCTTGATGTCTAGAAAGGTATTAACCTGTACTGGCCTGGCTGAAAGCTTTGTGAGATTGATGTTGGGCTTCCAAGAGCTTACTGTGATTTAGTTTTTCTCTTTGTTTGTTCTTCCTGAAAAAGAAAAATTAAAAATGAACAATTGCTACTTATAAATATTAATTTTAATAAATAATTAATAAAGATTAAAAAAAATTAAAAGTATATAGTTACTTATTAAACAAAAATCTAAGAAAAAATTATTTAATATTGAATGCAATTAATAAATATAATTACAAAAACAAAGATTTATTTACTTGAAAAAAGTGAAACTAATATAAAAAATTCTACTAAAAAAAAATTCATATATTTACAGTATACAATAATTATAGTCAATATTTAAAGAAATATTTTTTAATAAAATAATTTATATCAAATAATTATAATATTAATTATAATTACTTAAAGTTAAAGAATTTTATAATATAAGGCAATTATAGTTAATCTATTCTCACTTACACATGCAGCTAATAAAAACTACCAAAAAAGGAAATCCAAAAATTTCAACATCAAGGAAGAAAAACAAAGACCCCAGAGAACACACATTTCCCAAAGATCAAACTCTTAACCATGAACATATTTTTTTGGATGTTCTAATCATCCCTATTAGTAACTCAAAGCTATCATTATTTACAAAAACACTAAAACCAAAAAAATTACAGTCACAACTTCAATGAACTCCTTCCATCTTCCCAAGCTAGGTAACTGTCTAAGAATATAGATAATATCAGTCTGGTACCCTCAAAATGGAAAAGAAGAAGTCAAAGTAATAATGGTATCTTTCAAAGACTATCATCAGTACAAATAATAGCCTCTCTAACTACATCTAAACCAATGTTACTATAAGACCTGAATATATTCCTTGACTCCCAATACATCTTTCAAATCACAGATTATAATAGAATCGATGTAATGAAGAAAATCCAAAAATTGGGCCTGAACTATAACCTCCACATCCCTTGGAATAAACTAAACATCATTACCAGTGAATTTAATCAAACTTTCACTTTGGAAAGAAAAATCAAAACGCCCATAACCCCTCCAAACACCCCAGCACCCATGAGGAAATAAGCGATAATAATAAAATGCAAGATGATTGTTTCCCTGATGCACCTTTTGCAGATAGTTATACAGATAACAATACTGATGTACAAGTAAGCTCTAGCTTAGAAATAGAAATAGATATATAAGATATGCATTCTAGTAGTTCTATTCAACAGGTATCATTCCATCTCAAGGACACTCAATCCTGGGTTAATGAAGTTAACAACCAAGTTGCCAGCAAACCCGACACACCCTTCACAATTGACAGTGACATCAGGAAAGTAAGCTCTCTTAAAAAACAATAAAAAATTCTCGAACTCTGTAGAGAAGTAGACAAATGTGAGAGAAATGTTGAACAGATCATCCAATGGTTCCTTAAGCTCAAACAAGCTGGACCTTTAGAATTAAAGCTATCAATCAAAGCTATTATAACAAAAATTAGTTATAGAGACTGCAACTTTTTTAAAACTTTTGCAAGGGAAGCCCTGATTAAGGGACAATATCAAGTCAAATATGAAAACATAGAGAAAGAATTTCATAACAACTATCTTAAAGCAAACAACATTGGCTATATTAACAGAACTACATGGAAGAAAATCAGAGTCATTATCAATAAAGCTCTTTTTATTACATATCTCAAATCAATAGACCTTACTCTTCTCAAACACTGGCAAGCTGCTTAACTCCTCAAATAGGGATTCAACTTTTTTATCAATCCTACAGTAGAAAAATTAGACTATCAAGCCTTATCAGTAAAATATAAAAAATTAATTAAGGATAAGTTATCTTTGCTACCAACAATCCCAATCCAAGTTCCTGTCTCAATAAAGATTAAACTTCCCAAGGCCATTTCCATTGTGTCATCTAGACATACCATCGAAGTCATCAACAGTTTCAGAGCTTTTTATAATTTTGACAAATTACTTAACTCATTTTTTGTACAAAGACCAACCATTCTAGATAACTCTTCAAATCTATGATCTGAGATCAAGGCCCTCTTTTTATTAATCAGATACAGTGACCTTAGGAACTTAAGGGACCTAATGGACTAACTTAGAGACTTCTACTATGTTCCAGCCAAGTTACCAGAAGCTTACTTCAAGCTTCCACCTCCCAAGGCCACACTACCTGCTTTATACTTTGAGCTTCCTTCTCAAATTGCCTGTTAATTCCAGATTATCATATTTTCATTTCTAGCTTATTTAGCAAGTAGATCTATCTGATTATTAAACTTGTTGATCCCATGAGCCTTGACCTTTATAATTTCTAAGGTAAGATCTTTTTTTTTTTACTAGATCTTTGATCTTACTCCATATCGACCAATTGGTAATCTTTGTTTATCTTCTTATTGATATCTCTATTTGTGAACTGATAGACTTCCATGTTTTAACTATAATATTACAATCAGTGAAGATTAAAACTGTTGTATTTTGAGAAGTAGTGAATAGAGCAGTAAGGATGATCAATATTTTGTCCTAGTTGTTGATTACTATATTGATACCCCTGCTGAGAATTGTTTTTCAACTTTACTATTCTTTATTAGAACCCAAGCAAACCTATTTCAAGTTTACCATCTTTTGTCCATTTTTTATAGAAGCTATCTATATAAATAGTGAACTGATTAGCCATACTTCTTCTATTGTATTGCAAGATACTATATCTATAAATTTCTCTAGATGTTTGTTTGATTGAATGGCTTGTCTTATTAGCATAGCTTTCCAATTTTTTACCTGAATTTTTACTTCTATAGGTTTAAAAATAGATGGAATTAATATCTGTTGTCTTGTAGTTATTTCAGTTCATGACATTGTCTGACAAAAGAACTTGTTTTATTTTTCTCAAATTTTTATATCTATTTAATTGTGGGAAAGGATGAATTTGTAATAGAACTACTTCTAATGCTTAAGATGATCTATTGATTAAAGTAGGATATAGTTTCTAGTAGAATTATATGATGACTGATATGGATTAAACTAGATTTTGTTGTTTAAGAATGATATTTTTCCTAATATATTAGTTGAAAAGCTGAAGTGAACTATCCAGTATGTTTTTTTCTTATCTGGATATGCTAGAAATGTTTCAGTTTGCATGTTGTAGTCTATCCAATCTAGTCCATAATAATTTTCTTAAGTAATTTTGATTATTTGTCACCTTTTCACAAATCTTTTTGTATCAAGAGAGGACTGATCCTTTGCACTTGCTAAAGAGAATCTGAATTGCTTTCCATTTTTTAAGTGTTATCATGATTATATTGATAATTTGATCCAAAAACATGATTTCATGTTTATGTAGTGATGGAATGGCTTTTTCATATTCTCTATTATTTTTAGAATTAACCTGATAGATAGAATACCTTCTTGATAATTAAATATTTCCTTTTATCTTCAACTTTGAAACATAAGCTATAGATATTTGACTAGACCAATGTTGCAGCTACCAGATTGCCTTTGATCAGCTTATGTGAGTTTATAGGATTATCAAAGATATTCCTAGGTTCTCAACCTTTGATCTGGCTCTGTTTTAATCGATTATGGTTGTCATGCCAGAGGCTTCACTATTGTCGAGTTGACAAAATAGTGCTGATATATGGCTTTTCAACTATATTTTCCAAATACTTTTAGGACCATATATTTCTTTGTTGTGGATACAACTGTTTAAAATTATTTCATAGATTAAAGCTTTATTCTTGAGAACCTTCCTGAATATAGCTATTAGATTATTACATATCTTCTCATTCAAGTGTATATATTATATTCTATATTCTATTCTTGGAATAAAACCTTTATTGATAACATATCAAGCATATTTTTCTATTAACTTCTTTTTAGTTATTGCCTAAACTACTACCCTGATTTCTAATTTTATTGAACCAATCATATTCTGGTTCTTCTGTTTTGGTCCCAACCAAATATCAAAGAATCTGACTTGATCCTTTTTATTGATCTCATGAATTATAATATTCTTTATTTTAGCTTAAACCATTTCAGGGTCTTGAGGATTTCAATTAATAGTGAGGAGAATTGACTTTGTTACATTAATTTGTGAGTCATTTGCTATGTAGAACTTTTTTGCTTCTTCCAAAATACTTTTCGGATCTTTTTTTGATTTGACAATCTAGATTATATCATCCATATATGCGATTATTACTTGCCTTAGAGAGAGCTTGGTCTTTTCCTCAGGTTTATGAAGATTGAATGACCATTTTTCTTCTATAGTATAATCCAGTATAGTGTTATTTTGAATTTTACATAGCAATGGATCATAAAAATTCTCCATAACAGTGGAGAGATTGTTTCTCCTTAGTCTATACTATTTCTTGCAACTATTGGATTAGAAAGTCCATTGAAAAGAATAATACTACAACTTCTGTTTTTGAAGAGATCTATTATAATCTTCTTGATAGTTGTTGGAATTTGAATCTAATCTATAACTTTTTTAAGCATAAAGAGAGATATTGTATTATGTACCTTAGCAGTGTCTTGAAAAAGAATCCATAATTTTTTTTTATTTTCTCTTGCTTCTTTACAAATACTATTCAATAGATGAATAGGTTCTGTTGTGCTTTCTCCTAGTAGATCAACAAAGTTTGAACCTTTGAGAATTTTATATTATTTACATATTATTGATAGATGATTGGTAAGAATCTTGGTAAAATATTTCTGAGAGTTTCAAGAAGAACAATAGGTTTTGTGTTGTTCAATTGACATTACTAGGATTTGGGTTTAGGGATAGGATAAAGGTTACTACTTTTTCATTTCTTAGGTATTTGTATAGTACTTAAGACTTTGTTGAATAGTAAACATAAAGCCTCTTTTCTTTTAATATCCAAGTGTTTAAGCATTTCATAATTGTTATATGAGGGACCAGCTACCTTTTTGTTCAGGAAGTGTTATAAAGTAGCTTCAAGTTTCTCTATTTTGATTTTCTCTGTTAGTAATAAATACTATGTTAGATCAATCCATTCTTTAGGTTGATATTCTTTTTTACAAGAGGAATCTAAATTTTCAAGTTGATATTTCTTGTTTAAATGCTTCTTTATGATAGTCTTCAGTCTTTCTTTTGATAGTTTGAGGATTAGTAGCTATGTATTCTATTTTTTCCTGATTCTTGGTTAAAACTTAGTCTAGTGTGATTCTGGATCTTTTGTAGTTCAGGATAAAGCTCAGCATACATTTTTGATTAAATTTGAGATCTTTATATCTGTTTTCTAGGGCTTCTTTAATTTGGTTTCTAATATAGAGACTTTCTTTTTTCTTATATATTATTTTAAGGGTATGCTCTATCTTAGTGACTTTTAACAATAACTCTAAAATTTCTTTTTATGACTAGGGAGGAGTTATTTTTTTATTGATAGATTTATTAAAATTTCTTAATTTTTTGATAGTTTTTTCTATATCCTTTAGAATTTTAATATTTCAGTTGACTTGTAATTTCTTTGAAAAAAAATAAATCTTATTGGCTTCTCTATAGGTTTCGAAGTCTTTCTTGAAATTGCAGATCCAAGCTTCACTTCTTTTCTCATATTAGAAGTAGAGTAGATTTTTTTTTTTTAAGGTGCTTGTATATACTCTTAATAATTATTGACTCAAAATCATACTAGACCTTATCTAATTCTTGAGAATCATATACTACTATTGATTAGGAAGATTGAAAATTGATCTCAAGAAACTTTCTTTCTATTCAGAATTTGAATTTCTTTTATTGTTTAGCTGTAAAATTTACTGGATCAGGTATTTTCTTAACTTTTGATCTATGTTGTTTTTGAGCTTGATTCTTAAACAGATTGTTTGTTGCCATTCTTGCCAACAATAAAGTATGATTACTACTCAATAATGTTTCACTGGAATATTTTTAAATTCATATATATTGTTTAGATTGATTTCTGGTGATAGCCAGATATAGTTAATTCTACTATATGATGTATTGTTTGTCCATGTAAATGTAGTGCTTTCTTCTTCTTAAAAGTTCTGAACATCTATATAGTTTCAGTCTTCTAGAAAGTTAAAAAGGCCTATTTCAGCTTTTCTGTATCTAGGTATTGTTTTATCAGAGAGTGGTCAATCTGCCAATGGATTTGATGACTGCATTGAAATCTCCTATGATTATAATCTTAAAGTGATTTTTTTGCTTGTCTAGAATTTTATTTTGAAGTAGTTGTTGTAACTATTTACTTATAGTTTTTTTTGATAACAGATATACTTGATAGATATAGAGCTTACATTTTGTTGATAAAAAGTTGGCTCCTGTTATGTAGCCTTTTATTTTTTCTATAGATTCTAGC